ATTGTAATTATGATGATGATTGCGATTAAGAAGAATGATTAATTACAACGTGTCGTACGTGTGTATATGTTATACATCGATCCTTATTAGTTTCGAATAATACAAAACATTATTGAAAATAAATAAATAAATAAATAAATAAATGAATGAATGAATGAATGAATAAATAAATAAGAAAATAAAATGCTGCTATAAGCTTTCAAAATGAAACACGATTAATAGGATTTAACGAAGAAGTTGTTCAAAAAAGTTAAACAAAACCTTGAAAATATCGATAATGGTTTCGATAATTGTGATCATAAATTTTTATTTACGATCGGAGAAAAAACACTGTGAGAGTAAAGTTACTTGTCGTTTAATCTCTCAATCTTTCTCGCTTTCTCTCCCTTTCTCTCTCTCTCTCTCACTCCTTCTCTCTTTTTCCTTTTGATATTATTTAAACAATTTTCCGTATATATTCTCTCAGTAATGATAAATTTTCCTTTTACTTTTCATCGAGAATCACTGTCGCAAGAGTCGAATTATAGTGGTTACGTTCCTAATTAACTAGCTTCTAAGAGCATATACAATTTTCTTAGAGAAAAGATAGTAAAAAAAATTGTAATTAAGGTGATTAGAAACGGTAAAGGGAGAGAGAGAGTGAGAGTAAGAGAGAGAGAGAGAGAGTGTTTCCTTCTTCCACTTTATTGCATTTTACTTACGTAAACGTAACAAGAATATAATGAATTTAACATGACAAACTATAATCATCTTTAATACATGTTCTTGAATACATGAGTGTGTTTGTATGTACGTGAGTATGCGTTTATGTATAAAATAAATTAAAAACGATCGAATATTAAGTAAGACAGATTAAAATTTGAAGATGACGATTTTACGGGGATTTTTTTTCTTTTATTTAAATTATTTCGAATGAAACTTAAGAATGCAGTCGACGAGTGCAAATTAATGTGACGTAAGAACGCAATATTTTTTTTCTAAACGAGAATAGAATTTTTCTATAGAACATTTCGTAGTTGATTAATTTTATTTTGTATTTTTATTCTTTTTTATTTTTTTTTTTTTTTCTTGGTAAGAAGAATCAATTGTTCTGGTAATATAATTCGGACATTTTTTTAACCAATATATAATTATTTATTTATTTTTTTGTAATTTCTCTTTTTCAATCTCACATTTTACAATTTATATTTGCATAACAATCTTACACACACTCGTACACCTGGGCACGCACACGTGCATAAATATTTAACATATTGTTACAATTATTATTTATGAACGATACACGATATGATGCAAGTTAAATTCAAACTCGATTACGATTATTATATAAAAAAAATCGAAAATGCATTTGACGTAATCGATAATTCTGTCTAAAAGATTATTCCACGAGATCGTTTGCGGAATAACAATAAAAGTGGATTAGTGATAAAAGTTAGTAGGAAAAAAAAAAAAANTCTGGTAATATAATTCGGACATTTTTTTAACCAAAAAAAAAAAAAAAAAAAAAAAAAAAAAAAAAAAGAAAAAAAAAAAAAAAAAAAAAAAAAAAAAAAAAGGAAAAAGATAATCGACTTTGAATTTACCGTCAGAGTAATTTTAATCCGTACATTTAATCGCATTAAATCCGTCAAACCCGAAAGGTATTACGTATGTGCTTTACGTACACACACACACACACACACCTATATACATACATACATATACTAAACACCCATTTTTGTACAAAAGAAAGAAAGATAATAAGAAAAAAAAGAGAGAGAGAGAGAGAGGAAAATAGGACGTCGAGATTTTGCATGATTTTTATCGCATATATAAAATAAAACGTATACCATAAACAATCTCCCAAAAGCAGTCCTGACAAAAAAGAACAAAAGAAAAAAAGAATAATAAAATAAAATGAAAAGAGAGAAAAATTTATCCGATTTTCGTCGTCCGTAGAAGGACGTTCGTTTTAGTTACATGTGGCATTTAAGGGAATTAGGTGAATTAAAAAAAAAAAAGAATAAATGAGATAAAAATAAAGTATCTAACGTTTAAGTAGAATAAAATGTTAAACGAGAGAACAAAGAGGTAAGAAAGTATAATGAGGGTAGAATTAGACAAATGTTTGAATAAAAATGAATTAATTGTGTGTGTATGTGTGAATGTAAAAAAATGGATGAACGTAATTCCTTTATCTCTCTGTTCATGAATGTATGTATGTATATAAAACAATATATATATATATAAAATAAGTATTTATGTGTATGGAAGGATGTATGTGGTATAGTTAATATAAGAGAGAGAAAGAGAGAGATAAAATAAGAGTGACTTATATATATATATATATATAGATATATATAATATAAAATTGATAAACAAGATAATGAAGTATAAAAAGGATGAAACGTAAAAATTAAATAATTAAACAAAATAATAATAATAATAACGAACAAAAGAAGATGATAAGAAAATAAGTAAAAAAGAAACATGAATGAAACTGTTAATGAATAAACGTTAGTGACACTAACTTAGGGAAAGAGTATGTACGTTATCCTACTTCCAACATGAACGAACAGATAAATTTGTTGTAATAATTTGTCGAAGCGTGTTTACGTGAATTGTGTTTTATTATGAAAATTAATTTTATTCTATCCCGTTTATATACGAGCGAAGGAAGTATCCTCACCTTTCCTGAATATATTTTTTCTTTTCTTTTCTTTTTTTTTATTATTTATTATTTACATAATAATGTAACATAAAAATAACGATTGAAATTTTTAAGA